AAAACTTACCTAACCTTAGTTTTTAAAAAAAACCATTTTTTTAGCCTAACCCAACAAAATATATTTTAGATTTGTTTACTATAATTTAATACTAAACAAACACAGTGAAATATATTTTTTTCGTTAGGTTCAGAATGATTTTGGCGAAATTATTGCATACACAAATTTTCGCTTGCCCTATATGGCAAGATGAGCATTGCTATTTAAGCCAAGATCGCAAGTTCTGCCTATTCGGCACGACATATATATATCTATATATATATATAATATATATTATATATATATATATATATATATATATATATATATATATATATATATATTATATATATATATATATATATATATATATATATATATATATATATATATATATATATATATATTATATATATATATATATATATATATATATATATATATATATATATATATATTATATATATATATATATATATATTATATATATATATATATTATATATATATATATATATATATATATATATATATACATATATATGTATGTATATATATATATATATATTATATATATATATATATATATATATATATATATATATAATAATATATATATATATATATATATATATATATATATATATATATATATATATATATATATATATATATATATATATATATATTATATATATATATATATATATATCTAAACTCCACACCTTCTCGTAATTTCCAAACTTTGAATTTTCTGCATCATATTTACACCACACATTGCCCTTAGACAGGACATCTCCACTGCCTCCAACTGCCTCTTCGCTGCAGCATTTATAACCCAAGCTTTATACCCATATAAGAGTGTTGGTACTACTATACTTTCACATATTCCCTTCTTTGCCTCCATTGATAACGTTTTTAGTCTCCAAATACACCTCAATGCACCACTCACCTTTTTCGCTCATCAATTCAATGGTTAACGCCATCCTTCATTAACCCATCTGCTGACACATCAACTCCCATATATCTGAAAGCATTCACTTCTTTCATACTCCTTCTCTCCAATGTGATATCCAATTTTTCTTTATCTAAATCATTTAATACCCTCATCACCTTACTCTAATCTATGTTCACTTTCAACTTTCTGCCTTTACACGCCCTCCCAAACCTTTGCAGCTTTTCTTTAGAATCACCCATTAGGGCAGTATCATCAGCAAAAATCTAATCGTGTCAACTCCCATTTTGTATTTGCTTCCCCATAATTTAATCCCACCCCTTTCCCCAACACCCTAGTATTTACTTGTTGTACAACCCCATCAATAAATATATTAAACAGCCATAGTGACATTACACATCCCTGTCTAAGACCTACTTTTACCGGTAAGTAATCTCCCTCTCTTCTACATGCCCTAACCTGAGCTTCACTATTCTCACAAAATCTCTTTACAGCATTTAGTAACTTACTACCTATTCCATATATTGCAACATCTGCCACATTGCTCCCTTATCCACTCTCTCATATGCATTTTCTACATCCATAAATTCAATGAAAACTTCCCTACCTTTATCTATATACTGTTCACATATATGCTTCAATGTAAACACTTGATCTGCACATCCCCTACCCACTCTAAAGCCTCCTTGCTCATCTGCAATCTTACTCTCTGTCTTACCTCTAATTCTTTCAAAAGTAACCCTTCCGTATACTTTTCCTGGTATACTCAGTAAACTTATTCCCCTATAATTTTCTACAATCCCTTTTGTCCCCCTTCCCTTTATAAGAAGGAACTATGCATGCTCTCAGCCAATCTCTAGGTACGTTCCCCTCTTCCATACATTTATTAAACAAAAATACCAACCACTCTAACATTGTATCTCCCCCTGCTTTCAACATTTCTGTCACGATCCCATTAGTTTTTGCTGCTTTACCCCCTTTCTACGTAATGCCTCATGCACCTCCCCCACGCTCACATCCTGCTCTTGTTCACTCCTAATAGATGTTATACATCCCTGGCCAGTGCATGAAATGACTACCTCCCTTCATCGGCATTTAAAAGTTCCTCAAAACATTCCCGCCATCTACTCAATACCTCCAGCTCCCCATCTACTAATTCCCCTACTCTGTTTTTAATTGAAAATCAACTCATTTCCTAGGCTTTCTTAACTTGTTTATTTCACTCCAAAAACTTTTTCTTGTTTTCATTAAAAGTTCTTAACAGTGCCTCTCCTACTCTATCATCTGCTCTCCTTTTGCACTCTCTCACCACTCTCTTCATTTTCTTTTACTCTCCATGCACTCTGCTCTTCTTATAACACTTCTGCTTATTAAAAACCTCTCATAAACTACTTTTTCTCTTTTATCACACCCTTTATTTCATTGTTCCATCAAGTACTCCTCTTTCCTCCTGCACCCTCCCTCCTATAGCCACAAACTTCTGCCCCACATTCTAATGCTGCATTTTTAAAACTATTCCAACCCTCTTCAACTCCCCACTAATCATACTTGCACTAGCCTACCTTTCTCCCAATAGTTGCTTGTATCTCACCCTAACTTCCTCCTCCCTAAGTTTTTACACTTTCACCTCTCTTTTAGTTGTTTCCATTTTCCTTTCATCCCATCTACCTCTTCCTCTGACTGTAGCTACAACTAAATAGTAATCCGATATATTACCCCTCTGCAAACATGTACACCTTGAAACCTACCCATCAACTTTTTATCCACCAACACATAATCTAACAAACTACTTTCATTTCGTGCTATATCATACCTTGTATACTTATTTATTCTCTTTTGCATAAAATATGTGTTACTTATTACGAAACCTCTTTCTACACATAGCTCAATTAAAGACTCCCCATTTCATTTACCCCTGGCGCCCCAGATTTACCTACTACTCCCACCACAACATTTTTACTCATTTTAACATTGAAATCCCCAACCACAAGTACTCTCACACTTGGTTCAAAACTCCCCACGCACTCACTCAACATTTTTTAAAATCCCTCTCTCTCCTCTACACTTCTATCTTCTCCAGGTGCATAAATGCTTACTATAACCCACTTTTCACATCCAACCATTATTTTACTCCACATAATCTTTGAATTAATACATTTATATTCCCTCTTTTCCTGCCATAACTTGTCCTTCAACATTATTGCTACTCCTTCTTTAGCTGTAACTCTGTTTGAAATTGCTGACCAAATCCCATTTATTTCTTCCCACTGAAACTCTCCCACCCCCTTCAGCTTTGTTTCACTTAAAGCCAGGACATCCAGCTTCTTCTCCTTCATAACATCCACAATCATCTCTTATCATTTGCACAACATCCACACACATTCAAACAACCCACTTTGATGGTTTTCTTCTTCTTTTTAGTAAGCTATACAGGAAAAGGGGTTACTAGCCCATTGTTCCCGGCATTTTAGTCGACATTTACAACACGCATGGCTTACAGAGGAAAGATTCTTATTCCACTTCTCCATGGATATAAAAGGAAAAGCAATAAGAACAAGAACTATTAAGATAAAATCAAAGAAAACTCAGATGAGTGTGTATGTATGTATGTATGTATGTATGCATATATATGTATATATATATATATATATATATATATATATATATATATATATATATATATATATATATATATATATATATATATATATATATAAATATATATATATATATATATATATATATATATATATATATATATATATATATATATATATATATATATATATATATATATATCCCATCACTATTGCATTGCCACAAATACACGTATATTCCACGTGAATTGGGGTAGTGAGGCAGAGAGCCGCTGTAATACGGAGGGTCTGTGGGTCGAGGCGTCTTCCCATTGCCAAAATGGGAACTAGTTGGAGGAAGTCCCCAGAGTGATGTGCATTCACAGCTGGGAGATGGGCAGTATCTTTGCCAGATGTTGCAGCCCTGTGCATATTTAAAATATAGTTCAGTTTTGTACTTTTGTCCTGTTTAGTTTTGTAATTTTGAATGTTTGTGTCATATGGTTCAGTCTTGTACTTTTGCACAGTTCTGTTTTGTACTTTTGTACTGTTCAGTTGCACTGTACAGATTTGTACTTTTTACCTGTTCAGTTTTGTACTTTTGTACTGTTCAGTTTAGTACTTTTTTACAGTTCAGGTTTGTCATACACCTTTTTTTAACGATGGGACCATCCCATTTGGACCGCATGTAGGCTAGGGCTCCACTAGTTTAGGGCGCTGGAGCATTAAGTCTCCCACTCGGCGATGGCACTTGTGCAGCTAGGATCCTGTATTCCTGCTAAGTCACCCAGGTTGTCCAGCGAGAATTTCTTTTATTATCTTGCCTGATGCTATGGAGGAGGATAAGAAACCTGTTAGGGTAATCTGGGAGGATTAGTGTACCCCTAACCCACTCGGCCTGCCTGGAAGTGAGGCTTACAACCATTGTGCATCTTCCAGGGAAAGGTTCAAGACATTCGCTAGCATGGTCTTTAATAGAGAGTCATATTGCTTGAGCTTCAGATTGCTGAAGGTTGGGGAACATCTCAGAAAGTAGGTAAGTTTTGAGAGGGAGAGGCATCTGGTAAGTAGAAGGCATAATGTGTATCAGTGTCTTTCAATATACGTCCCATCGTCCTGAGGTCTGACTTTTTTTAGAATGAGATCAATGTCATTGAACCCAAGAGGAGCACCAGGTCATTACTACAATATCAGTGGTTGTGGGCTGGCTGTTAATGCTCAAACTTTCTGGCACTTGGTACTGGTTTGCCAGGAGCACTTAGTGTCTCCTGCCTTCCAACTTCATTTGAGCAAAAACATTCTCCTGAACAAATCTTCTTAGACTGCCTACTCATTTCTGCATCATTGCAAGCTCCTGATGATGTGTTGATTGCAACATGAAAGACAAAGAGCTGCAGAACAAGTTTTTATTGTTTAAGCGTATTGCTCTGTGTGTAGATGACAAAGTTCTTCAAAGCGGCGTAGTTCGTTGTCACGTTAAAAGCTTGCTCTACACGTTTCTTTTTCTTATACAAACATATACACACAAACCTGCAAAATGCCCATATAATTAACACCAAACTAAAGTATAAGCAGACGCTCATGTAACAAATATGCTCGACAGAACAGGACCTTGGTAAAATAAATAGTGAATTTGTTGACAACTTACATTTCCGGAACGAAACAACTCGTTGAGTATATTGACGAGGTGAAAAAGTCTTCCGTCCTTCCTGCTGAACCTGGTGCCTCCCATCAGCGCCCACAGGATGTTGATGGCTGATACACCTACCATGCTCTGACAGTCACACATAAATACTTATTAGTGCGTAAGTTTGCATGCAAATAAAAATGTTTGCTTACATGTGTAAGGGCTGCCTCACCTATTTGCAACCATTCCCGAAGTGCATGTAGCAACAGCACCTTCTATGGCGCTTAGGATTTCATTAACGTTAATAAATTTAATATATGAAGTAACCTGGAGTTTACCTGGAGAGGGTTTCGGGGGTCAACGCCCCCACGGCCCGGTCTGAAACCAGGCCTCGTGGTGGATCAGGGTCTGATCAACTAGGTTGTTACTGCTGGCCGAATGTAAACCGACGTATGAACCATAGCTCGGCTGATCAGGTACTGACTTTAGGTGCCTGTCCAGCGCCTTCTTGAAGACAGCCAGGGGTCTATTCGTAAACCCTCTTATCTATACTGGGAGGCAGTTGAACAGTCTTGGGCCCATGGCACTTATTGTGTTAACTCTTAGTGTACTCGTCGTGCCCTTGCTTCTCACTAAAGGAATGTTTTGCAAGTGTATATTATCTTGTATGTTTCTCGCCTGTATTCCAGAGAATACAAATCAAAGGACTTCAACCATTCTCAGTAATTTAGGTGCTTTATCGTACATATGCGTAATGTCAGTTACTCTATGAAAATGTTGGTACAGTGTTAAAATACTACTTAATGCTTATGGTGATGAGAGAGATTTTCCAATCAGTTCAACATCATGTTTCAGTGTCTCTTAGTAATATCTTTTCTTACTAACACACTCACAACGCATCTAGAATGCAGATGCTCAACACAAAATTATGTCAAGTTTATTAAAGTAAATTCTGTCATGTCTGTAAATTCCAGGCCCCCCCAAAAAAAACTCATTTTTTTTGGGGGGGGGGGCTATATATTCTCTTGAACAAAGTACTCTTAATCATGAAAGATTCTTTTCATCTATGTGACTGGCTCAGGGAGCAAGTATTTCATTGTTAATGGACTTATTTAAGTTGATGCAAGACAGAAAATGATAACAGCCATTTTCATAGACTGTATTTGTTTAGTGTGTAGATGCTTGTCTCACGCATTATTTTTATAGCATTTATTGGGAAGCTCTAAACCTGTGTCGTTCATACAGTGCCATGTCTCGCCCAGCACATTGTCAAAAAGCTCTAATTTTTAAGAACAGAATGGATTTATGTGACATTGGCTGACACCACATCTTCCATTGTGTGTACCTTATTTATATCTACCTTAACTGAGGTCAGTGGTCATGTGTGGCAATACCTGCCTAAGATTTTGGGAGTTAGTGTGGAGTGTTACCAAGCACCATGGCTTGTTGTAGTGTTTTAGTATCTCAGGTTCAAGTGTTGAAGAAGAAGGTTCTACTTCTTCAGGAGGAAAACACGAGGCTGAACCCTCGCATTGATGGGTTTGGGAGCGAGTGTGAGATGGATTTAGCTGGTAAGGAGAAAATGGTCACCAGCAGTGAGAGAGACAGCCGCTTTAAGTGGCAAGTGGTTCACAGTTCAGGAAGAAGGAAGATGAGGAGAGTTAGTAGAGAAGATGTGAAGGTAGGAAATAGATTCTCTCTTCTCAAGGACGAGTGCACTTCAGTGGTAAGTGAGGTTGAAGGTACCATTGATTCCCCTGCTGATCAAAGTAATAATATTCTAATTGTAGGAGATTGTCAGGTAAGATATGTGGACCATGCTTTTTGTAAAAGAGATATAAAGGTCGGACAGAGGGTTTGCCTCCCAGGAGCTGGTGTTGGTGACATAGTCAGCAGGTTGACTAATATTATGTCACGTATTGGGAACAAGCCCATTATCTGTCTTAGTGCTGGGGGTAATGACATTGGGAAGGGCAGGAGACAGGAGCTGCTGGATAAGTACAGGTCAGCCATAGAAGTAGTCAGGTCTAAGGGAGGGATCCCAGTCATATGTAGCATTTTGTCTAGAAAGGGAGTGGGCAATGAATGGATGTCTAGGGCAATTGGTATAAATTGCTGGCTAGACAGGTACTGCAAGGAACTTGGAATCCCATTCATTGATAGCTGGGACAAATTCTATGGCAAATATGATACGTATGCAAGGGATGGGGTTCATCTCTCTGGGGCTGGAGTGGTTGCATAAGCCAATTCAATTGAACGAGTAATTGATGACTTGTCTAGGACTTTAAACTGATAGATTATAGAAGTATAGGTGTTTGTGGGAAGCAATCAGGCTGCAGTATTAGGGTTGAAAAACAGCAGTTATTACCGGGATACCCCTGGGATATGTTTAAAAGGTAATATTCAAAATAGAGTTGCTAGTAAAGGCAAAGCAACTGATCAACATAGAGAGATAGTAGAGAGCAACGAGAGACTGGCTCCCTTAAGGTTTACTATACAAATAATAGGAGTCTAACAAATGAAATAGATGAGCTAAGATTACTTGCAAGTGCAGGTAATATAGATATTATTGGTATAAAAGAGACCTGGTTCAACCTGAAAGATAGTGAAATGCCTTCTGAATGCAACATACAGGGTTATAAACTATTCCAAACTAATAGGGTCAACAGGAAGGGTGGTGGAGCGTCGATGTATGTCAGAGATAATTTAAATGGTTGTCTTAGACATGATATAAGATTAGAAACATCGGACACAGAATCTGTTTGGCTACAGTTTCTCGAGGGTCGTGACAAATTAATTTTGGGTGTGATTTATAGGCCCCCAATCCTTGATAGGGAGTGTAGTAAACTGTTATGGGACGAAATTCATAAGGCAGATAGATATGAAAATGCTGTGTTAATGGGAGATTTTAACTTTAGACAAATTGATTGGAACAATACGACAGGAAATCTTGAGTCTAGTGACTTTCTTGATATGGTTCAGGATTGCTTTTTAGAACAGTTTGTGACAGAACCAACTAGAGGAAACAATCTGCTTGACGTGGTTCTTGCCAACAAAGAATCACTAATTAATAATCTTGAGTTTAATGATGAGCTTGGGGAAAGTGATCACAAATCACTGTGTTTCAATATATCATGGAATTACCCAGATAACAGTAATCAGTCTATGCCCCAGACTTTTGCTTGGCCGATTTCATGAGACTGAGAAATAACCTGGGTGGGTTAAATTGGGATGACTTGACTATGGGTCAGGGAGGTGATATTGGTTGCTAATATGTTTTTCAGAGCATAGTTCTAGCTGCCCAGACAATTTTTGTTCCGAGGAGGGAAATTAGATCTAACAAAAATGATCCCAAATGGATGAACAATAGAATAAAACATCTCACTGGTCAGAAGAGAGGCATATATAGGCATATCAAAAGAGGAGGTGGGCAGTTAAGAAATCAATACATTCAATTAAAGAGAGAAATAGCAAAAAGAATAAGAAAAGCAAATAGGGATTTTGAGCCTAAAGTCGCAAGGGATTCGAAGACTAACCCAAAAGGGTTCTTTCAAGTATAGAGAAGTATGATTAGAGGACAAGATAGGCCCACTTAAGAGTAACTCAGGTCAGATCACTGACAGTGATAAGGATATGTGTGAAATTTTCAATAATTACTTCCTCTCAATTTTTACCCAGGAAAATACTAACTAAATTCCTGATATAATAGATTATGTAGAATAGGACGATAATAAACTATGCACGATTGCTGTAACTAGTGACATGGTCCTCAGACAAATAGAGAAATTAAAACCTAACAAATCCCTAGACCCTGATGAACCGTTTGCAAAGGTGTTAAGGGAATGTAAAGAGGAACTTAGCATAACCTTTGGCCAATCTTTTCAACATATCACTACAAACTGGCATAGTGACTGATAAGTGGAAAATGGCAGGTGAGAGGTCCTTAGCTTTGAACTATAGACCAATAAGTCTTACCTCCATAGTGGGACAATTTATGGAATCAATAATTGCCGAAGCAATTCGTAGCCATCTTGATAGGCATAAATTAATTAATCAATCTCTACACGGTTTTACAAAGGGGCGTTCCTGTCTTACGAATTTACTAACGTTTTTCACTAAGGTGTTGAAGGAGGAAGATCATTGTAATGAATATGATATTGTGTATATGGACTTCAGTAAGGCTTTCGACAGATTTCCACATGAGAGGCTATTGAGGAAACTTAAGGCATATGGAATAGGAGAAATCTTTTCCTGGGTAGAGCTTGGCTGACAAATAGGCAACAGAGAGTTTGCATAAATGGAGAGAAATCAGAATGGGGGCACGTCACAAGCTGTGTTCTGAAGGGGTCAGTGTTGGGCCCGTTGTTGTTCACAATTTACATGAACGACATAGATGAGGGAATAAATAGCGACATAAGCAAATTTACTGATAACAGCAAAATAGGCCAGCCAATTCATTCTAATGAGGGCACTAGAGCACTCCAGGATAATTTGAATGGACTGATGCAATGGTCGGAGAAGTGGCAGATGCAGTTTAATATAGACAAATGCAAAGTTGTAAATGTTGGACAGGAAAATAACCATGCCACATATAAACTAAATAATGTAGATATTAATACTACTGATTGCAAAAAGGATTCAAGAGTTCTGGTTAGCAAAAATCTAAAATCAAGACAACAGTGCATTAGTGTTCGCAATAAAGCTAACAGAATCCTTGGGGGGATATGATCGAGGTGTATAAATGGAAAACAGGGATAAATAAAGGGGATGTAAATAGCATGCTGAAAATTTCCAGCCAAGACAGGACTCGCAGCAATGGTTTCAAGTTGAAAATTCAGATTCAGGAAGGATATAGGAAAGCACTGGTTTGGTAATAGAGTTGTGGATGAGTGGAACAAACTCCCGAGTACAGTTATTGAGGCTAAAACGTTGTGTAGTTTTAAAAATAGGTTAGATAAATACATGAGTAGGTGTGGGTGGGTGTGAGTTGGACCTGACTAGCTTGTGCACCTTCTTTAAGTGGAAGTGACCTGACTAGGTGGGTCACTGGGCTAATCCGGGGGGAAGACATGGACCTGCTTTGCATGGGTCAGTAGGCCTGCTGCAATGTTCCTTCTTTCTTATGTTCTTAATTGTTAATAGTTCTGCGTATCATCGTCCCCGCGGCCCGACCTCTTACCAGAACTCTTCGACTGCACAACAAATATGAAAGATTGAAGAATGAAGGAACACACAAGAAAAATGTATTGAGTTTTGCTCAATATAAGTTTAAGTTCCTAAGAATTATATATTGCCTAATATGTTTATGAGACAAAAAGAAAATCAGTCCTGCCACAAAACAAAAAGTTTAACATGTTTCAGTTTCAATATTCATATGACAAGATAGTTGCTCCCTGAGTATCTGATATCTAGCAATCTATTTTGTTTGTCAATTTATTCCTTTTCGTCCACCCAAAAATAATCCAATACAGAGAGATACGTCGTCCAGTTTTCATTCCTAACTTATTTACTTGTAATAAATCATGTGCCTGGCTAAAACAAATCCGAATGTTTGCATGGAAGATAATGTAGAACACTGCAAAATTCACCTCACCAGAGCATGAGAAACTACTGGATAATCTAACACTGAGATATTTTAATGTGATCGAGATATAAATTTGTGTAAATTCTTGAGTACAAACACCGTGCATGTTTGTTGCTCCCTAAATGTGTTCAACGTAAAGATAACAGTATATAATTGTAAATAATCTTATGTAACAATCTTAGTAATGTTGGTCCACAGTATTTAATTACCTGGAGTGAGATACTGCCTTTGGTCTCCTTGATCTCCTTGATAAGTTCGCTGGCTTCCTCTTGGATAACTTCCTCATGGGAACGCTTACCGAACCCTAGATCACGAAACTTGTGCAGTGTGAACCGCCTCTGTTCCTTCCAAAAGTCATTCTCCACAAACACTACTCCTGCAGGATTATGTATAAATTGCGTACTTATGATATAAGGTAAATCTGTGTTCCATACACATATTTATTTAGTTGAATGACAAGTGAAACAGCAATCAAGACTAGATCTAAGAAGCTGTGAATGTATATCAGTTTATCTGGAGTTTATCTGGAGAGAGTTCCGGGGGTCAACGCCCCCGCGGCCCGGTCTGTGACCAGGCCTCCTTAGGTCAGTGTCCCAGGATGCGACCCACACCAGTCGACTAACACCCAGGTACCCATTTTACTGATGGGGAACATAGACAACAGGTGGAAAGAAACACGTCCAATGTTTCTACTCTGGCTGGGAATCGAACCCAGGCCCTCACCGTGTGAAGCGAGAGCGTTAACCACCAGGCCACCAGAGGATATTCCGACAACTTTGTTCATAAGATAGAATATGAGATTTATGACATTTTTATTGAGAGGTTGTTTCACCCACCAGGAAGTTTATCAATTCAGAATTCATTAAGTCCCCGGTGGACTAAACGGCTTCTCAATAAACCAAATAATGTCTTATTAATAAATAAAAATTCTGAAATGATAGTAATCCAGGAGAGACCGAAGCCTCTCAACTTTGCTCTGCAAAGTATTGGTTACTTGTATAACAATGATCAAATTGCTGCTCTACACATTGTGAATAGGATCAACACCATATTTTATATTAGCATCCCAGCTGTGGGTAACATCACTGCAGTGAGACATTTAGAGAGTTTGTAAACTGACCTCAGAGTTGTGGCATCCAATACCCGTAAGGAAATGAGATAGATCTGGCAAAGAATTGTCTGAATAATGTATGCATATATTATTTTTAATAAAAGAGCTTTTGCTTCATCAACTGACCTCTTTGTTTGTCATTAAAGAAAATATTGGAAAATATATTTTCAGGTCGTCCATCAAGGTCATCGTTGAGGATTGACTCCTTAACCGCCTCCCAGCCGTTGACGATGATGGTCGCTTGTGAGCCGAAGTAGAGACCAATGATGTTACCGTAAGTGGACGACATCTGCCAGAGTTGCTTGTAGATATGCTCACTCTTCATGTTAGGTAGATACCCAACCAAAGGTAGCCGCACCGGACCTAGTTAAAAAATGTTATATATTTTACAATAATCTACTCCGAAGATGCAAGTTGTGCAGTGATGGCCTCGGATAATCTAACAAAAAGGCTTAAGAAAAAATATTGATACTTCTCCTTCAGGCTGATTGAATATTCTACTCCAACTTCCTCCCTATTCTTTATATACAAACTTAAATATTTTATTGTGTAAAATGTTGCCTAAGTTTAAAGGATACATTGAAGGTACAAAGATGCTAGTATAAAATGCAAAATGCAGCAAGTTTGAGAGATATATAAGAAATTCAAAAGAGCATTTAAAAAAAATCATCCATCTCCTTAACCCTTTAACAGGCCTGGTAAAGGGTAATTATCCCTTTAGCAGGTCTGGTAAAGGGTAATTACCCCTTTTCAGGCGGGTAAATTTACCCTTTTCCACCTTTTAAATTTTTAGTGAAAATGTTCCTAAGTTGGACAGAAACGTCCCTATTTTTAAAAAACATCCCACAAAGGTTTGTTTTATTCCCACACGGTACTTGATGGATACTTTACCCTGGGGAAGCGGTGTACCTACAGTGAAGTGCATTTGAGGATGGCTAAGGGCATCTAACAATGATTACCACCTTAGGTAAAAGGTGTACTAACCATTAGGTCCACCTGGGTTAAAATGATGTACACTAACATGAAGATCGCAGCCTGGGGCGGTGTAAAAATGAAAAGTGACCACCTTGGGGGTGGAGAAAAAAAGCAGCTTCTATAACAATTAAAGGTATTTATTGGTGAAAGCAATGTCACTTTACAAGGGATACCACCTGAGGAAAGCAGGCTGTACTAACAATGAGACTGCAGAAGCCTTGGGAAGACAAGAGCACTAACAAGAAGGTACCCACCTACAGCTGGTAAAGTACAAGTGAAGGTGTTACCTACATGAGGTACCTTTTCCTGGGAAAGTAGTGTCACTAACGAATGAGGTAACATCCTGGGAAAAGCTCCGGTTAACAATTGAGGTACTGTGCCTGGGGAAGAGGTGTCACAACAATGAGGGTCTAACTGAAAGCAGGTGTCACTAACAATGAGGTACACTTGGAGAAGCAGTGTCATAACAATGAGTACACGGAACAGGTGTATAACATGAGGTACTCACCTGGAAAGCAGGTGTAAATAAATGAGTCACTGGGAATTCAAACAAAAAGTCTGGATAAGCCATAACAAAAGTATGGGAAGCAGTCACTAACAATGTTAGGTACCCACTTTGGGATACAGTGTCACAACAATGAGGTACTTCCACTTGGGAAAGAGTGTCACTAACAATGAGTACCATGGGAACTCGGTTTGGAGGTATGATAACATAATGCGAATACCATACAACAACAGTGTCAGGACAGTCAATATTAAAAAGTATAGATGTTAGATTACACAGTTTCAACATAAACAGTTCTGATAAATAAATTATTGAAAATAACAATGAGTTACCTATGCTTGGAGGTCACATAACAATGTTGGAGTAATTTCACCATACATTTGGAGGTACCATACACCTGTGAATGGTACAACCTTACACACATGTTGGAAGGTCAACATGAACACATGTGGAAGCAGTCCATAAACAGTTGGAGGTCAACCCATTTACACCACATGGTTGGAGGTCAACCATACACACATGTTGGAGGTCAACCATACACACATGTTGGAGGTCAACCATACACACATGTTGGAGGTAAAACCATACACACATGTTTGGAGGTCAACCATAAACATGTTGGAGGTCAACCATACACATGTTGGAGGTCAACCATACAAAACATGTTGGAGGTCAACCATACACACTGTTGGAGGTCAACCATACAACATGTTGGAGGTCAACCATACACCACATGTTGGAGGTCAACCATACACATTTTTGGAGGTCAACCATACACACATGTTGGAGGTAAAACCATACACACATGTGGAGGTCAACCATACACACATGTTGGTGGTCAACCATACACTCATGTTGGAGGTCAACCATACACACATGTTGGAGGTCAACCATACACACATGTTGGAGATCAACTATACACACATGTTGGAGGTCAACCATACACACATGTTGGAGGTCAACCATACACACATGTTGGAGGTAAAACCATACACACATGTTGGAGGTCAACCATACACACATGTTGGAGGTCAACCATACACACATGTTGGAGGTCAACCATACACACATGTTGGAGGTCAACCATACACACATGTTGGAGGTCAACCATACACACATGTTGGAGGTCAACCATACACACATGTTGGAGGTCAACCATACACACATGTTGGAGGTCAACCATACACACAGTTGGAGGTCAACCATAAAAACATGTTGGAGGTCAACCATACACACATGTTGGAGGTCAACATACACACATGTTGGAGGTCAAACCATACACACATGTTGGTGGTCAACCATCACACATGTTGGAGGTCAACCATACACACATGTTGGAGGTAAAACCATACACACATGTTGGAGGTCAACCATAACAATGTTGGAGGTCAACCATACACACATGTTGGAGGTCAACCATACACACATGTTGGAGGTCAACCATACACACATGTTGGAGGTCAACCATACACACATGTTGGAGGTCAACCATACATGTTGGAGGTCAACCATACACACATGTTGGAGGTCAACCATACACACATGTTGGAGGTCAACCATACACACATGTTGGAGGTCAACCATACACACATGTTGGAGGTCAACCTTTACACACATGTTGGAGGTCAACCATAAACACATGTTGGAGGTCAACCATACACACATGTTGGAGGTCAAACATACACACATGTTGGAGGTCAACCATACACACATGTTGGAGGTCAACCATACACACATGTTGGGGGTCAACCTTTACACACATGTTGGAGGTCAACCATACACACATGTTGGAGTCAACCATACACACATGTTGGAGGTCAACTATACACACATGTTGGAGGTCACCCATACACACATGTTGGTGGTCAACCATACACACATGTTGGAGGTCAACCATACACACATGTTGGAGGTCAACCATACACACATGTTGGAGGTCAACCATACACACATGTTGGAGGTCAACCATACACACATGTTGGTGGTCAACCATACACACATGTTGGGGGGTCAACCATACACACATGTTGGAGGTCAACCATACACACATGTTGGTGGTCAACCATACACACATGTTGGAGGTCAACCATACACACATGTTGGTGGTCAACCATACACACATGTTGGAGGTCAACCATACACACATGTTGGGGGTCACCATACACACATGTGGAGGTCAACCATACACACATGTTGGAGGTCAACCTACACACATGTTGGTGGTCAACCATACACACATGTTGGAGGTCAACCATACACACATGTTGGAGGTCAACCATACACACATGTTGGAGGTCAACCATACACACATGTTGAGAGTTCAACCATACACACATGTTGGAGGTCAACCATAACAAAATGTTGGTGTCAACCATACACACATGTTGGAGGTCAACCATACACACATGTTGGAGGTCAACCATACACACATGTTGGAGGTCAACCATACACACATTTTGGGGGTCAACCATACACACATGTTGGAGGTCAACCATACACCATGTTGGAGGTCAACATACACACATGTTGGAGGTCAACCATACACACATGTTGGAGGTAAACCCATACACCATGTTGGAGGTCAACCATACACACATGTGGAGGTCAACCATACACACATGTTGGAGGTCAAACCATACACAATGTTGGTGTCAACCATACACACATGTTGGAGGTCAACCATACACACATGTTGAGGTCAACCATACACACATGTTGGAGGTCAACCATACACACATGTTGGTGGTCAACCATACACACATGTTGGTGGTCAACCATACACACATGTTGGAGGTCAACCATACACACATGTTGGTGGTCAACCATACACACATGTTGGTGGTCAACCATACACACATGTTGGTGGTCAACCATACACACATGTTGGAGGTAACAAACCAGGGGGAAACCAAAAAATGTTGGATGGTAAACCATCAACATGTTGGAGGTCAACCATACACACATGTTGGAGGTCAACCACACACACATGTTGGTGCTCAACCATACACACATGTTGGTGGTCAACCATACACACATGTTGGAGGTCAACCATACACACATGTTGGTGGTCAACCATACACACATGTTGGAGGTCAACCATACACACATGTTGGAGGTCAACCATACACACATGTTGGAGGTCAACCATACACACATGTTGGAGGTCAACCATACACACATGTTGGTGGTCAACCATACACACGTTGGAGGTCAACCATACACACATGTTGGAGGTAAACCCATACACACATGTTGGAGGTCAACCATACACACATGTTGGAGGTCAACCATACACACATGTTGGAGGTCAACCATACACATATGTTGGAGGTCAACCATACACACATGTTGGAGGTCAACCATACACACATGTTGGAGGTCAACCATACACTCATGTTGGAGGTCAACCATACACACATGTTGGAGGTCAACCATACACACATGTTGGAGGTCAACCATACACACATGTTGGAGGTCAACCATACACACATGTTGGTGGTCAACCATACACACATGTTGGAGGTCAACCATACACACACATGTTGGAGGTCAACCATACACACATGTTGGAGGTCACCATACACACATGTTGGAGGTCAAACCATACACACATGTTGGAGGTCAACCATACACTCATGTTGGAGGTCAACCATACACACATGTTGGAAGTCAACCATACACACATGTTGGAGGTCAACCATACACTCATGTTGGAGGTCAACCATACCACATTTTTGGGGAGGTCAACCATACACACATGTTGGAGGTCAACCATACACACATGTTGGAGGTCAACCATACACACATGTTGGAGGTCAACTATACACACATGTTGGAGGTCAACCATACACACATGTTGGAGGTCAACCATACACACATGTTG